AAAAGTTAGATGGGTTAAAGATGATGTAGCGGTATTACATATGCTTTTTGTACTTTTTTTTTTAATTTTTAAAATTAATCTCAATTTACAAGTAAACCATTCATAAGTTATTTTCTACTTTGCTAGCTTTTAGATATAAAAGCAGTAATATAATAATCCTTGAAGCATTACATTTAATAGTCTTATAAACTAATCTAACTATATATTGTTACCAGCATAACTTTTTGCTACATGCTATGGATATTTTTATATTTTATCTCTAAATATTTCATTTATTGTTTTCCTAAAATTTGTGGCACAAAGGCAGTGGTCTCAGTAGAATTTCCTATTTTCTTAATAATTAGTTGACAGATACTGAAGTAGTCAACTCTCATGGACTACCTTGTCTATGGAAGGGAAGCAGAGAGGAGATTGTTGTTGCCCTATAAGAGTTTTCAATCTAGAGCAGATGATGAATGTGTCAACATTGACTCATTATGTTGGGTCAGGTGCTATTATAGGAGTAGGCATAGTTTCTTATGGAAACCCAGACCTGGGGCAAAAGGAACCAACAAGATGAAAGGAAACCCATCCAGGTTACTCTGAGGCAAAGTCCTCTTTTCATAATCACTCTTGTTATTCACTTAGAAAGCACATTGTGTAAATTAGGTCCTCGAAAGCATGGATTCTATAGCTCTTCCAAGGCATTTATTTTCTTCTTGTATATGCTTTTTTTGAAAACTTTAATGTAGACAAAAATATGTAATCTGCTGCCTCTCACAGGAAACTAGAGTCAGATTCCCTCAGTCATCTGCTTACAGCTAATGAAACATCCAGAAACAGAAAGAAACTAGCCAATGAAAGTCAATACAAAAAATAAACTAGAATTGGATAAGCATAGGACAAAATGCCTGATGTGAACTATACTGACCTCTGATTAATCACAAGAGACAACTATAAAATCAGATGTTCAAATGACCAAAGGGACTTATTTAATCGGATTCATTGTAATTCTTAAAAACCATCCAAGGAGAGAGATCAGCTTAGTATCTTGACAATCATATGCAGGCTCAGCTCAGGACAATAATGCGAATTTCTAATCTTAATTTGTATGGTTATGAGTTCTTCTTTACTTGAACTATATATCCTGATGTTTGTATTTTGGGAAGTGGGTTCTTGTCAAACATTAGATGGTTTTCTCAAGTACAAAAAATAAATAAATTTGGCACCCACATCTCATCAAAGATTTTTATTTTATTGCCTCTTTGATTTATACAACAGAAATCTCTGTACTATTGGAGCGGCACACAACATACACACTGAGGAACTCTACTTGTTTATGTAAACGGTTTCTCCTCTTCTCTGGAAGAATAGGTGCTTAATGAAGATTTGAGTAAATAAATTATAAATCCATTAAATAATACTGTTCTATACCAAAAGGTTTGGTTATACTAATATAATCAAATTCCTTATTTGTGACATTATCATTTTCTTATATTTAGATGAGATTGATGTTTTAAAAACAGCTTTGTTAATAAATATCAGTGGGATCACAAAACCAAATAAATGGCAAGGAGAATTCAGAAGGGGTACTGATTCCTTTAAAATCTTTCTCACGTGCTTACTAGTTGCATTCTCTTCTTTCTAATATAGGTATTCCTAAGATTGCCACCTCAAAATGCCCTTTTAAGAGTTTTGTCACTGAACTTTTGAAGCATTTACAAGAACATCAATACAATTATATTTTAAGTATTAGACTAAAAGGCTTTTTATCCTTCAAGAAGTCTTCAGGATATGTGTTCTTCAAAATAGCAACAATCAAAAAGAACACTTCACATAGTATATATTGGAAATTGATACCATTTAAAAAATAAATTCAAATTTAGTAGGGCTGGTAAAACATTGAATGTCTCCAGGAAATTTGTTTGACATTGTAAGTTGGTTTTATGATATAATTTTCAATTAATTCATTTTCATATTATACTTGCTTTTGGCAAGTTTAAATATTGTACAGTTTTAAATTTATAATTTGTGCACTTACATTTGATAATGGCACCTGTAATGAAAAAGTACATAATTGCTGTTTCTTTCTTGATGTGAGTGGCTTCATCTGAATGGAAGATCAAGTTCAATAAGCTATAGAGTGGTTCTCAGAATGCACTTCATTGGTGGGCCAGAACATTCACTTTTTATCTGTTCCTTTTATCATAAACTAATTTTTTTAAAAGCAAATAAATAGTGTAGAATAAAATGGAAATAGAGCATTTAGACTTTGTGGACTGATTTTCTTCGGTGTATTTAATAGTAAATAGCTAAGGCAATGGTTCTCAAAGTTTGGTACCTGAACCATCAGCACCCGCATCATCTGAAAACTTGTTAGAAATGTACGTTCTGAGGCCTTGTTTCAGACTTCTGAATCAATAACCTGTGCTTTAACAAGCCCTACAGCTGATGCCAGCAGAAGTTTGAGGACCACTCAGACACTTTGCTGTTCAAAATGTGGCTCATGGATCAACAGGAACTCCTGCACCCTTATTAGAAATGCCAGACCTCAGGGTGCTAGAATCAAGAACTACATTTTAACAAGATGCCCTGGTGATCCTGATGTATATAAAAATTTGGGAGCCACTGTTCTGAGGTTTAGAACAGCAAAGTTACCAGCAGGAGAGTATCCTGTATTAAGAGGCATTTTATAGGTTGTCAAAGTATAACTCAAGATACTTTACTATCTGTATACTCCTCTCAGTTCCCCCTGGAATTTAAAAAAAAAAAAAAAGGAAGAGAGGTAAACCTCTCTGCTGCAATATGCAAAAATATATAAAGACACACTGAGATGGAGAGCAGAGCCATTATCTGGGGAGCAGAGCTATTATCTGGGAAATAAATTGCAGGTGTATATGTATATGATATATACATTCCATTATAGCCCATATAGATCCTATACACACATATATCACATAATGATTTAGACATATTAAGTGAAAACATAGTTTTCAAGTCTAAATTTTTTCAAAAACTCAATTTTGTAATTCATTCTTCATGCGTCAATAAATCTATGCTTTGTGTCTTTTTATATTAGATTATGTTTTACCTTTGAATTTAATTCTCTGTAGTAAATCTTTTTAGAAAGTCTTTTTAACTAGTAAAGTTAAATTGCATACTTTCAAGGCTCCATTTCATCTTGATAGAATAATTCTTATGATGCTGAGGAATTAGTAAGACAAAGCTTTCTGTGGAGGCAATGAAGTTTGCTTCTTTCTAAGCATTTGACATTTAACATTTACTAGTGGTGAATCCAGTGGCCTGGGTGGAAAAAAAATCAGTTGATCAAGTAAAATCTAATTTGTAAAAATATTTTTAGCATAAAAACACATGAAAATTAATGGATTAAAAAATCCTTTTGAAATTTTTGCACAACAAACACCCCCATATGTAAATAGGACTGTCACTCGGTGTTTGTCCACAGCTAGAGCTCCAGATGAACCAGTGTAGTGTGCGATGACAGGAACAGCTGACTCATTAGCAGAGAGCAGTGAAAGGTAATTAACCCTGGGAAAAGTACAGCTGCCGTGCGGGCTGTTCCTTTCTGTAGGATCTGATTAGAAATTAGTGTTAAACCACTGATTCTTTTTTTTTTTTTAAGACTGTCATTGATAATTTTCACTTTCACTCTCAGGTGTGTCCCTAGAAAAGGTTCTCAAATGTACTTATATACAAAAGGGCTCAAATCTAAAAAGGATTCCCCAATAACAATAGACATCTGTTTTGCTTGTTGAAGAAGAGTTCTTTTAAATAAATATTATGTTTAACTATTGAAGATTGGTCATATCCCAACCTATACTTGAATAGTCAGTATGTAAATTATTTGAAAGAATTGTTTTACATAATCAGTAAACAGTAGGTAATTGCCATTTAATTAAGTTTTCTCCTTTTTTCTTTTCATTTTTCTTCTAATGATGCTTCTCAGCAGTAGCAATGGAAACTCTCCAGTTCAAATCCCATAGATATTAGAGAAGGTAAGTGAACACTATTTAAAACTAAACGCCCCCCCTGCCCAAGAGAAGTAATCCCTAATTTTCAATGCCCTTCAAAAACTCGAGAGTAATGAACTTGGTTTTAGGGGACAACCAAAAATGCTTGACTTTGTTAATGTTGGTATTGTCATGGCAATTTAGGTTATATTCATATACTTTTTGAGGAATGTATACACCTGTTCATCTTGATTTATTATTTTACATGTCTCATATGAGGATTAGTAACACTCTAACATAGTCAGAATTCACATATGTGACTAAAGAATGTGGTAGATAGAATAATGCCCCCCCACCCCGCAAAATGTTTGTGTTCTACTTCCTGAAACCTGTGAATATGTCACCTTATATGGCAAATAGAGTGTGATTAAATTAAGAACCTTGAGATGCAGAAATAATCCTGGATTACCCAGGTAGACCCAACTAATCACATGGTTCTTAAGAGAAAGGCAGATGAATGAGTCAGGAAGATGGAACATGAGAAGGACTAAATTCAACCTGCCATTGCTGGCTTTTAAGATGGAGACAGGGAGCCATGAACCAAGGAATGAAATACAAAGGCCTCTAGAACCTGAGAACAGCCCTCAACCTACAGAGAGCAAGAAGACAGTTACCTCAGTTCTATAACAGCAAGGTACTGGAATCTGCCAACAGCCCAGGGGAGTAAGGAAGTAAATTCTTCCCAATAGTTTCCATAAAAGGTTGTGGTCTGACTTAAGTTTAGCCTGGTGAGACCATACCACACTTTGAACCTACAGGGCTGTAAGATAACATATTTGTGTTGTTTTAAACTTCTAAGTTTGTAGAAATTTGTTACAGCGGCAATAGAAAACTAACACAGAAGATAAATAAGCCAACCAATAGATGGGATATATTTTACAGCTGGCAATATAAATTCTATGAAAAATTTCCTTTGTTTGAATGGAGAAAATCTTCTTCAGAGGCCAAAATTGATAAATCGATCATCATTAGGGATCAGAATATTTGTTCTGTAGATTCTAATGATTATCATCACCAACTCTGAGGTTTCTGTCTTCTGCTTTGCAATTCCTTCTTCACACCAAAAAAAAAAAAAATTTTCTACATATTTGTGTAAACACAATGTCTGTATCACCCAAGGCTCAAGCGAATACATGCTTTATTGGAACATCCAGCTACCTGTGGGAACACTGGATAAGGTAGTGAGCTCACTTTGTTCTCTTTCTTTGTATGTAAAATTGATAATACCTCCCCAAAGGCAGGTCATTATGATTAAGGAAAAGAGTGCATGTGAGTACTTATGAGATGCCTATCACTTGTTAAGAGTATAGTAAAGGTAAGTTATATTTACTTATAAAACACTATCTTTTACTATTTTGTAAAAATTAATAAATTGCTTTTGTCTTTTCTCATGATTAGCACCATTTTATTTCTAACACAAATGTCATCATTTTGGAGTATATAGATATACCTTGTTTAAAATAAAGTAAAAGGGCATCATAGTCAGGGCATTCTGACATTATTAGTAAGAAAAGTGAGATATAAAAACCGGGAACTTGATATAGTTTAAATGAGTTGACCTTCCTAGATTGTTTTCTTGCTGAATTTGGAAAAATAAGTATCTATATTTCTATTTTACCTTTGGTTTTTATTCCCACAAAAGGACCAATTTAAATCATAAACTATATTTTTTCATATAAGTTAAATAAAAGTAGACATTGGATAAAATCTACCATAAAATCTGTTACACTTCATGCATACTCTTCTTTGCATTTTGGGAGCTGGTTTTCAACATAAGGGAAAACAAAATTACAAATTCTCCTTAGGTGGCATAGCAATCAAACAAACTAAATCTATAGAGTCCCAGATGCTTCGTGTCTGAGAAGTTTTGCATTGAAATACAATTAATAAAACAATATCTCAGTCATCTGAAGAGGATTCTTTTTGGCTTATTTCAATTAAATTCAATAATAATGCATTGAGCACCTACTTTGGCTACAAGATTTTGTTGCAGTAAAAGGTCAACAAGCCACAATCTCTCACTTCCATGAGCTTATACTGGCACAGGGAAGAGTAAGTGGGCATGAGTGAGTATGATATCAAGTGAAGCATAGTAATCAAGATGAAAGTACCATCAAAACACTATTGGGATACAGAATTCTGTGAGATACTGTCACTTGAACCACAACATGAGTAATAAATCGCATTTCAGCAGATAGATTTTGCAGTTCTGACACTGAAGGAAAAGTTCCTTTGAAAGTTAAAAATGAAATCAATGAATCCTAAACATTTAATTGTAGATATTTAATTTTGGCCATCTAGTCACTTTAATGCTTTTGTAACTATATAAAAATATGGCTTTAATACATTGCTTAACCAAGCCAAGTACAATTTTGACTATTTGTATCTTTCCAATTGGTCACTGGGGACATTTATTGTTTTTTAGTCAAAGTTCTCTGAATCTCTCTAGGGATAAATTCTTCAGTAATCATCATTTTCTAGAAGCATTTCAGTGTGGCCTAACCCTGAACTCCCATTGCTCCTTCTGCCTCCCTCTGTTATCATACCTTCCATATCTTATTGGAATCCTCAGTCTGCTGGTTTATACTTGTGAGGATAAGAGTTGTGCTTTATTTATCTTTTAATGCCCACTGTCTGCCATAGAGCAATCCGTGCTAGCTAGATAAATGTATATTTGACCAATAAGTACATTTTTTAGAAGAATGGCATTTATATTAAAAGAATCTATATTAAATTAAACATTGAAGTGAGATTAAAACCTAAGAATCATTCTGCAAAAATCTAGTGCCCCATTGTCCTCAACAATTGAGAATCATGTCCTTTTCTTTGTAAATTACAGAAGATTCTTTCATTCCCTATTTCCTAGTCAGATAATGAAGACAAATGACTTTATTTTTTTTATCTTAATTCAGATTTACAGAACATGGTTAAGATTTTAATAAAAAAAACAACAAACAATTACTGTTGGGAAAAACGGCAGACTTACTGAAAAAAATTTTAAAAACCCCTTAAAAATGGATAAAGAAAATAGAAAATGTCTGAGGATATCAAGTATATTGTATTACAATCTATATAATAAAGTAGCTTAAAAGAGAAATTTTCTTTACATAATAAAAAGCCTCAGTTTTGAATCAACAAGTGTTCTTTGAACTTTATTAAAAATGTTTTGACGTTATATGGTTGTTTAGTAATAGATTTACTTAAAATAGCACATTTAGTTGCAACACAAGCCTTAAAGTTAAGTGGTTAGTCTGATAAAACAGTTTCCATAGTTACCATGGAGAACTGAGGGTAACTTTTATTTCTTTGAAAGCCAAGAAGGGGGTTTAGGAAAAGAATTAAACAAATAGACCCAAGCAGGTTTATTATGTGGGTCTCCACACCTGATTGGCTTTTTAAAAGAGGAAATTCTTGATATTACGGGAAATTAAATTTTTTTACACTAAAATCTATAGCAGCACATTAAGAAATTTGAGGATTCCTTTTTTGAGGAAAAGCTAGTTTAATAAAGTATGTTTGTGAGATGCATTTTGCTCATAGTGTTTTGTTTAATAAACCACGATGTAAACAAGTGTTGAAAAGTGGCACACGAAAGACAGCAGTGCTTTGCTCTGCATGATGGACCATGCAGTCATAGGTCTAACTTTATTACTCTTGATGAACATTTTGTTGGAAGGCCTGATGGAAGGGAATGGAAATCCATGCTACCGAAGATGTCCCTTTGTGCCAGCTTTATTGTTTTCTCGGTTCAGTGCTGAGATATGCTCTCTTTGAGTGTTGATGGAGGTCACTTTCAGTGTTGTTTTTTGCTAACCCAAGGAGTTCTTCACAGTTGACTATTGAGAAACGAGGTGATGTGGTTTCTAGAATCTCACCTTCAGCTCCTGAGCCTTTAAAGCAGAAGTGATTAACAGGACTTTTACAAAGTTTCTATGTAGTTACAAGGACAGTTTCAATCTTCTGTCATTTTTTTGCATTAGCTATGATTATGCTTTTACCACAAAAATGCATTTGTTTTAAAGGTAACAATACAGACTGGGAGAATAGCTTATGTTTCATCTATATTTATCAGCACTCACTGTACATTTGTGTCTTCATTACCAGGAAATATTAAGGGACATTGTGCCATCTATTCCTGTTTACAGTTTATTATGCAGAGATAGGAAACACTTAGCATGTAAAATGAATGTAGAAATTATTCCTGGATAGAAACACGGACATTTCCCACTCGTTGGCTCTTTCTCCTCCATCACCGGATCAGAGTGTAATTGTCAGTAATCAGGCCTGCTTGCTGCTGATAAAACCACTCTGAATGCTAGCAGCCTTCTTTGTGTGATGACTCAATTATTCCAGAAGTGCCTCATCAAATCTGCCCCATCAGCTGGGCTAATAAATAAGGAGAAGAAACTGGCCCCCCAAAGCAAATTATAAATCCATTTGCATTAACCATTTCGCTGGTCCATGATCTAGGCAGAAATAAGCATGGCAGATTGTGTTAAGCTTATTTGAATATGTTTATAATGTTTACAGCATGCAACTTTTTTTTCCCACAAGGTGTTGGAATTATCAGTCATGAACGGCATCTAAATGCAGTTATGTTAATTGCAGCAAGGCTTTAAGTATCTTTGAGGGCTATTTTGTTCCTTAAATCAGGTGAAAGTTAAATCCTCTTGTACTGAGAAATATGGGTCTTATGCAAGTTATTGGCACTGCTTCAGAGTTTAAGGAGAAGAGGCTTGGGTTTTATTTTTACAGGTGCTGGAAGGACAAATGCAAATACTATTTAATGCCTGCTAGTACAAGTACAATTACTTCATATATATTTCAGTGGAAACTAGAAGTCATTTTGATGCTCTGTATGACTTCAGCAATTTGCAAAGCAAAACTTGCATTTTCTGGGAGATCAGAGTTGCTATAGCACTCCTCGTACATATAATTCCTTGAAAGAGTTTATAGAACAGAGATTTCAAAAAGCTAGGCAAACC